TTTTTAGTGGCAGAAACATAATACTATTTGGCGAAAAAAGAAATTACCAGCAAAGGGCCGGGGAGATTAACATTTGGAAACTTATGAAATGTAATCTGCATATCCAATTGATTCCCAGCATATCAGTTGAAAGGATAAAGATGTGTATCTCCATGATGGATATTGCATTAATAGGCACATAAATAAAGGTTGAAAAGTCATCACTGAAAGCTTTGAACCTTTTTTCCATTGCTTTTATGTCCCATCCGCACGTTTCAGCACCATTTTTTTTTTTTTGTTCCCTTTCTGAATTGTTACGTTTTCATTAATTTACAGATCAGCACGACTGGCAGCCGGAGAAGGGGACGGCTCGGTACGAGAGGAGGCTCTGCGGAAGGGCAGGGATAGGGGACGGGACATCCCAGATCCCCCGAGCCGAGCCCAGGAACCATTTTGGAGCCCCGCTGTCCGGGCCGAAGGGAAAGGAGGGCATCTTGCCCCTGCCATTAAGGAAGAGTTTTTCTCCGAGGTTATGTCCTCCGGGGATCGTCTGTGCCATCACCGCGGAGGAAAGAGAAATCTGGAGGGTAACGGCAAAGCATTTCCACGGTGGGAATATACGGGATAGCTCTCGCCAGCAGGGTCCCGGAGGGAGCCATGAGAGGGAGCAAACACCCAAGGGGTGGAAGCTGGTCTCCAGGAAGGGCCGAAATCCATCTCCCCGTAAGCCGGCGAGGCTGCCTGTGGGAGAAAGCTGAAACACTTAACCCCACAAATGGCTCCCTTTGCGGCAGCGGCCGCCCTCTCTCCCTGTAAACCGGCAATAAATACAACATGTATTTCACTAACTCCTCACCTTTCTGATTACTACCAGATCCCGCAGTAAGCGATACTACAGCTGCCACTCCGCACTGACACGTGCCCGCCGAACGAGGACAGGGATGTATCTGCAGTCCTGAGGCTGGGGGCAGGAGGGAGGGGCGGGTGTGGGCCCGAGGGCTCCTTCCAGAGGGCCACGGCGGCTGGGACGAGACGGTCCTTCCCTTTAGAGAGACGAGAGGAAAAGGCGGCGCTACTCATTCATTTATGACTTTAAAGATTACCGTCGAATTTCGGGTGCATCTCAGAGAGGGGCGGCAAGACCCCTCCATGTCCCCGACGGGAGGGCAGGGCCGGCTCCTCGTGTCCACCTGCGAGTCACCCTCGGAAACCCTGGGAAACCCGCATCTCCCTTCCCCACCTCCTTCGTAGTTACCAGCCTCATGTCAAAACGAAGCGTCTAATCCTCGTTAATTACTCGTAAAAACACCAGAGATTATTAATTCCAGCAGTATCACAATAGATTTCCACCGGGAGTTTTACTGCAGCAGAGAGACCATGAGGATTTAGGGACCCGAGGCTCGGACCATCAGGTACGTCTGGCTTCGGAGCAAGGGATTTGCGCGGCGGCGGGGAGAAAACACCCGTGGCTCTGCGTGACCAGGTCTGTCAACAGGTACCGGGGCACCAGCAGGCATCCAGCCCTCGATCCCAGCCGTCACAACTGTCTTCTGGGACATTCCTGCCTCCCTCTCTCCTCGCCCTCTATCCAATACGATCGAGCCAGGAATTAACGATATTAAGGGGGAAACGGCCCTACTAGCACAGACATTGAATTCATTAATCGGTATTTCGCCCGCAGCTATATGATTTCATCGCTTATTCTTT